CTGGGGGGGAGAGGGGAAAGGGTTAGTTTTTAATGGTTATTTTATTTATTTATTTATTTATCTTTCTACTTACGTATTTTAGTCGCATTAATGAACGTTTTGGTAGTATGCAAAAAAAAGAGAGAAAAAAAAAAAAGAAAAGAAAAAAAAAAACGTACTGCCGGGCTGCTCGGCGTCAAAAATAACAGAAAAAGTTATGGTGTGTTCTGAGGGAAAAAAAAATCATAACGAAAAAGTTATTGCTCCTCAGCGTTCATTTTGTGTCAAACAAAGGAGATGATATTGTGCGTTCAGGTAGACAAACATAACAAACGTACACAAGGATTCATTTGAGTTGAATACTGGTTCTGTTTCAACGAGAACGTAGCCCGCAATCAATCTCGTAAATGTGTCAATATAAGTAAATGTTATTAGTGAATCTGGCCATGGTAGCTGTTATAAGGAATCTAATAATAAAAGTTAAAGGGGAGAATTATAAAGAAAATGGAGAAGGTAATAAAACTGAAGATAAAACAAAAACATTGTACGAATAACTTATTTTTCGTGATAATTTGTGGCTTCTTATGTCACCTCTCTGCGTAAAAAAATACAGTCAATATGTTACCGGCATAAAATGTAATATGATTATTAGAAAGAAAAAAAAACGAGGGTAGCGATTGTTAATATAAATTATAAAGTATTTTCTTACATTATTATAGTTCTCATATTTATTATGTTGGTGATTCGTATAAGACAAAAGGTAGAATCAAGAACATTCAACAACTTTTAGGAATCAAACGAAAGGAAAATGCAAGAAAGATTTATTAACAAAACAAAATCGAATCGCTGAACCCGAACAAAATGTAGCGATATAGTCAACCCCCCCCTCCAAAAAAAAAAAAAAAAAAAAAATCAATAAAATCCACCAAAAAAGATAAATAGTTCCATTTCTTCTCAGCCAGATTGTCCGTGAATCCTTGTTATCATCCCCGAAGTAAAGTACCGATCGATACATGGACACGGAAATCCGCGCAATTAGGGAAAATCCTCCCCGGCGACCAATTAGCTTGCAGTTTGTGTAACCGCGAAGTTTGTCTCGCTAGTTTGTGTCAATTTCCTTTTCTCGAGGAATTCGGGGGAAGAGAGCTAGGGCGAGGAGCAAGAGCGAAATTGCAACCCCGTAACATTCCTGAACACGCCCCTAATGGCGCTGACGGCCCTCATTACATCTCGAACGCGACCAAAAATAACGGGTGCGTTCAGTTATGGCGCAGCGAGATGAGCACGTTACCGATAAATGTTATGCTGGTTAGTCCCAAGATATTTCAGGAACTGTGACTCACCTCCTCTTAACTAGCGCGAAATGCGTTAAACACACAATATATTGCTCAAAACAGTCGTCACGTGAATTTAAGGGTCAAATTCCCGGCTTACATGTGCCAAACCGGGTTGCCTACGGGTCTCTAACAACGGGGTTCTGGGTCATCGTTTAAATCCTCAGTTTGCCGGGAAATACTACATATTTTGTATTATTACGGCGCAGGAGCCCCTCTTAGACGTCAAGGGGAAGAAAAGTTGGGAGTAAAAATTCGCACATTTTCTCCTTTTAGTTTTGTTGGAGGCTGTACGTTTGTATGTTGTGATTTATTTTTACTTCTCTTGGTACTTTCAAAAGCTGAAAGGATTCAGATTTAAGATTATCATTCCATAAAAAAACTATCACATATGTAACCATAAACACGAAATCAAGTATTATCTTTAATCGTACGCGAACGTAAATGCGGTCTTTGCGTTGCTGATTAACAGTTTGTATATTGATTAATCAATATTGAATGGAAATTATAGCTCTATAAACACTTTTGGAATTATTTATTATCGTAATAATCTACTGTTTTCTGGAGTGATTTATAGAAAGATAATGATGTCACAATATCTATAATATATGGGGTATAACTCATGTATGAAATTAAATAAGCCTTCTTTTCAGTAAAATTAAATTCTAAAAATGGTCCTAAGAAGGAATTCTCAGTTTCATAATCACGCGCCAAAAATCAGTCCCTACATTCAAACATCGATTAAAAAAAGGAAAAGCAAATAATATAGCAGCTAAACCAAAAATAAGTATTCCATTATCAATACCACAAAGAAAAAAAAACCCTTGCGCAGATATAGACGGCAGCAAATAATAAATCGCGTATCCTATTACATAATGACATCCCCAGCAGCCTCATCCCGAGAGCTGCGTGGGAGGCTTCACCCAGCTCCCTCACCCTCTAGCGGCGGAAGTTGGAACTATCCATACATTGACTACTTCCCCGAGAGGCGAGAGGATGGTCATTGGGTACCTTACGCGGCCCGGAGAACTGGTTTTGGTTTTCTTTAGAGTCTGTTTGAATGTTGTTGCCTATTTTTTTTTGTTTTACTTTGGTGGTGGAGTCGTGCGTGGTTTTGGCAGTATTGGATAGATACGTGTGGGTATTATGGATTTTTCATGCGATTACATTTTCCTTTGGAATTCATATGCAAATCGAACCGGATGAGTCGGTGATTTTCGTAGTAAATTCAGTTTTTCAGTTTTGAAAAAACAATCTCCAGAATAGTAGAACTTTGATATATCTATATTACTTCAAGTAATATATATATATATATATATATATATATATATATATATATATATATACATATATATATATATATATATATATATATATATATATATATATATATATATATATTGTAGTTGAACCCTTCATCGTAACCTTGGCATAAACACAAAACCTGACACTCATAAACAAACAAGCTCACGTAAAACTCAGACAAGGCTACAAGAAAAACACATGAACTCATTTACTCTTAAACACATTGCAGCAAGAACACCTGACACTTGGCGCCTCCGTTTTATTCTGCAACCGCTCGGCACTTGTTTCGTGGTGATAATTCTCTCGCTCTTAAGGAACGAGTGCATAGTTAAAGTGGATGATTAAGATATACAATTAAAGAAAATTGGAAAAAAGAGTTAAATCGGAGTAGCATTATACAGAGGAAATGTAAAAATAGGCGTTTATATGTAAGCGCATGAACTGCGAAATTACACATATGCTTAGACTTATACTTGCACGCAAACGCATACCCATATTCATACATCTACTGTATGGCTACACATACACGTATACATATTGCAACTGTGCATACAATGTATATTTATACACATTATATATATATATGCATATATGTTTAAATATATATATATATATATATATATATATATATATATATATCTATATCTATATATATATACAGAGGTGGATATAAATATATATCCACCTCTGTATATATATATGTGCGTGTACATATAGATGTATAGATGTAATGCGCGCGCGCACACACACACACACACACACACACACACACACACACACACACACACACACACACACACACACACACACACACACGCGCGCGCGCGCGCGCGAGAGAGAGAGAGACAGAGAGAGAGAGAGAGTGAGAGAGAGAGAGAGAGAGAGAGAGAGAGAGAGAGAGAGAGAGAGAGAGAGAGAGAGAGAGAGAGAGAGAGAGAGAGAGTGTCTCCCCCAACCACCGCCTACCTTCGCTTCGCCCGAATTCACCATCTTCACCCTTCCTATCCGCCGTGATTCCCACAACGGCGCGGGAAAATCATCATCATCGTCGTTAACGTTTAGCACCATTACCCGATCGCATTGTCGTTGTTGCACCATCAACCTCCAGTTTACGACCTCTAATGACGCCCCTCATTCGTGTCTTGCAGCAGCGAAACTACAGGGTTTGTGATGGACCTTCCCGCTATCCCAGTACTTTCAGGTCCGGCTGGGTAGAAGCAAGGTCGGAAGGGGAAAAGGTGTCTCTATTAGCCTTTTCGGATGCCGGCTTCAAGGTCACGCTAGGCTGTGCTGAAGGTCGGACGAGGGTCAGGCGGGGTAAGTGAGGGGGGGAGGTGGAGGTTAGGAGGGGTAGAATATGAACGGCAGGGAGATGAGTGATGAGGTACCCCTTTTGTGTGTATTTGTGTTGGGTGTGACTGTGAGTATGAGCGTGATTGTGTTTGTGTATGTTTGTGTATTTCTGTGTTTGTTTGTGTGTTAGTGTGTGTGTTTGTATATGTGTGTGTGTTTGTATATGTGTGTGTGTGTGTGGGGGGGGTAATGGAAACGCTTGTAAGTATAATAGCATTGATAAGTATAAATAGCAGATCGAGTAGAATATATGAAAAACCTAGAACAGAATTTATGGTAAAAGGGATCAGTCACTAGTGGTTGTAATTATTGTTGTCAGAGGTGTCATTAGTGCAGTTAGATGAAAAATAACATACGGTGATCGGTTGCATATAATCATTACTTATATCAACATCAGTATTAATACCAGGACATCACAAACAGTTGTTCGTCAGAATTAGTCATGTACGCAATGGATGATTCTTAGATGGGACAACTATATATCTATTTATCTATCTATCTCTCTCTCTCTCTCTCTCTCTCTCTCTCTCTCTCTCTATATATATATATATATATATATATATATATATATATATATACATATATAGATAGATAGATAGATAGATAGATACACACACACACACACACACACACACACACACACACACACACACACACACACACACACACACACACACACACACACACACACACACACACAGCAGCAGCAGCAGTAACAAACAGAGAAAATACCATAGTAGAAAATGCCATACAACCCTAATGCGTTTTCTATTGCCATAATAAGAGATGAACAAACAGGGGACTTTTAATATATGTCAGTTAACCTGTGCTAATGGCAGCCCACACTTGTTTCCTGTGTCGACGACTGCGTACAATTACGAACGAACATTAGCCTAGCCATTATATATAGCGATATATATATATATACGTGGTTCTACAGGAGAGATGTGCAAAAAGTCTATGATTGTGTTGAAGAAATATTTGACCCGGAACGAGGGATGTGCTACGGTATCCACGTGAAGGGGTATT